CACAATTTCCGTTTAGTAATATAACAGGGACGTCAAGCATCTCTCACAATTTCCGTTTAGTAATATAACAGGGACGTTAAGCATCTCTCACAATTTTCATTTAGTAATATAATATGGACGTCAAGTATCTCCCACAATATCCGTTTAGTAATATAATAGGGACGTCAAGCATTTACCACAATTTCCGTTTAATAATATAACAGGGACGTCAAGTATCTCCAATAATTTCTGTTTAGTAAGATATAACAGGAAAATCAAGTATCTCCCATTATTTCCGTTTAGTAACAGGGACGTCAAGTATCTCCAATAATTTCTGTTTAGTAAGATATAACAGGAAAATCAAGTATCTCCCAAAATTTCCGTTTAGTAATATAATAGGGACGGCAAGTATCTCCCACAATTTCCGTTTAGTAATATAACAGGGACGTCAAGTATCTCCCACAATATCCGTTTAGTAATATAATAGGGACGTCAAGCATTTACCACAATTTCCGTTTAATAATATAACAGGGACGTCAAGTATCTCCAATAATTTCTGTTTAGTAAGATATAACAGGAAAATCAAGTATCTCCCAAAATTTCCGTTTAATTTGTGTATTTGTTTGAATTTAAGCACAAAGCTACACAAAGGGCTATCTGTGCTCTGCCCACCATGGGTATCAAAATCCAATTTTTAGCGTTGGAAGTCTGCAGACATACCGCTATGCCACTGGGGATCTACCGTTTAATAATATACAACACCGTCGTTCATTAGTTTGGTAAATTACAATAACAAATTCAGTCATCGCCCGTTACTTCCGTTCTGTTAGGTACAACCTTTCCGTCAGTCATCGCCCGTTACTTCCGTTCTGTTAGGTACAACCTTTCCGTCAGTCATCGCCTGTGATTTCCTTTTATTTAGGTAGAAGTGTTACATATCATGTGTGAAATGTTATTACATGGTTATTTTGTGAATCAGGTTAACGAAGAAAATATCATTGTGTAAGTGATCTTTTGTTATCATATAATTAAGTAAACCTTAAACATTCTTGAATAATCTTTTTGTATGAGATAATCCAAAATTTTGGGGAAGTTATTTCATGAACAGTAAAATGATTATTAAGAATACGTTAAATGTTACTTGTCTTATTTTACTAACACTTTACAACGTTTTATTACAGGTCTTCAAATATCTTAAATGCTAAGTAACTTAACATAAACAAATTCAATAAGTTATTCCCAAATTTCTTAATAAATGTGCAAAAAAACTTGTACATAGCACGAAACTTATAATAACATTTATTTTATCAGGTATGTATGTTTTTGTTTTAGAACAAAGTCACATTGGGCTATCTGCCGTGTTTACCGCGGGGAATCAAACCCCGAATTTTAACATTTACCGCTGACCAACCGATGGACTGACTTATCAGAAGCGCTCAGCTTATTTATATATATTTTTAATTATTTGAAGAAAGACTTGTTTGGTGTTAAGGAAAAGTTTTCTACTCATACTATACTTGAATATTTTAATTTTCTCACTCTGTTATTGTAATCAAGCATTCTTTATTTAGTTTCTCTTGAACTAAAATAAACATGACTTTCTCAATTGTTAGTTAGATCACACCCTTATAGCAGACTAGATCCGTCTTTCGTTAAAGATATCCACCATTTTTCAAATACAAATATTACCCTAGTCACAAAAACAGAACGGTCGTCATTAGTCGCTCATTCCTTCAATACGTTTGTTCTTTAGATTTGCGTATTAGAATAATAATTAGTTGTGAACAGAACATTTATTTTTTGAGAAATAGAAATCACTGTCTTTCGATCACTGACAAATTTATCCTTATTTTTCCTCCCATTTTCATTAAAAGACATTAAAATCTCATACAGTCTACTTAAGAGACAGCGTCTAATTTGTGAAAGATTTTAGTTGGATCTTTGATCAGTGATTTATCTGACAAGACAGGAATAATATTATAATTCAACAGAGAAAACAGAGATAATATAATTCAACACGTAAACGTCTTATGCAATATATATCGACATCATGATTCCACGATTGGTGTAATACCTTTAAGTTTTGTAAATTATCCTGTTACGTTGCACTGACAACTGATAAATATAGTTTTATACATAAAAGTTACATGTTCAGTATAACCTATGGGGTCACAGATATCGAAAGAAGGCTTAAATGAAGAATATAATTGTTTTCTCTCCAATATTTACTCGTCTTGCTAGAGCTTAATTTTATTCTTTATATCAGCATGTACCCATATGGAAATAACATCCTATACAGAAAGTCTTAAAAAACAATGAATTGTGCAAAAATAGCAAATTACTGCGTTTTTATCTTTATCCGTCATTTTGGTTTTCTATATTAAGTAAAATTAAACCCTCAGTGTGAACACGGCAAACTTTCTCCTTAAAAACGATAAATTATTGTCTGCATAACTTTAAAGCATATTTTTTCAAGAGCATGTTTTGAAGTTCAGAGAAGTCCTTTAAAATGTAAATGTTTTAATCAATTGACTACACTTTTGTTACTAATACATGACGCCAGTAATTGTATGAAAATATATTTATGAATGGAGGTTGTAATTAGCTCAAGCTTCTTATCTCAAAGTTATAGTGCTGCTATATAAACCTATAAATGTGGGCGTTTTGCAATAGTGTCCACTGCCAACTTGATTCAATTATATGCATACATACAGTATTACTGCTACAAAAAGTGTGTGTGTGTGTGTGTGTGTGTTCTGTCAAATTTATCATACATGTGCTTTTTTTTTGCTTCTTTATCATAAGTTCTGGAATCTGTGTGTCTAAAATTTAAAAAGGAAATTTCAATCAGTTCAATTGGTTCCTTTGAAGTACTTTCCTTAATCGTCCTTCTTTTTTAAATAATTCGTTGTCTGTTACACGCAAATTCCTGTTTGATAACGAATATATTATTGATTTCACGAGGAATTTCACCCTGCGTTTTATATTTGCAATATATTAGTTATTCCACTTCCGCATTTGATCAAAAATCCATAAATCAAAGGTTGGCGTTTTTATTTACTCTGTCAAAGTGTTCCTTTTTGGGCAAAGAACATGTACTGACTTGGATTCACTCGTCGATGCGGGTGTGTGAATGTGGATATGCTTTGTCTTAACATTGTAATAAATAAAAGCTTAACTCTGCATGTTTTGAGCTCTATAAATATAGATGTCTATAGCTCTAACTGAATGAGACAGCATGATTAAAGTTAGTGATAGTAACGTTCGCAGATGCTCTGAATTATACACTTTAACTGAACATCTCGCCCTAAGGGACGGCTGTAATGTTAAGCTTACATTGAACAAACATGTTATGTAAAGCGAAAAATAACAAAACATTTTTAAAGAATAGCTTTAAACAAGTATCTTAATAGTTTCTAATACTCTCATCTTTTATAGTAAAAATGCAAGCTATTTACCATGCCTAATCACGAAGGCAAGTACTACACCTTCTAGGTGGTGTAGCTAAGACTATATTGTTCCGTTACATTCTTAATAGAAGAAATGTCCAAAGAGAAACTTTCATCTGAACGAAACCTTAAAAAATGAAGTTCGTATACTTAAGTTAACAATTTAGGTTTTCTTGCACACCATCACACCACAACGCGTTATCTTGAGAAGCAATATGTGATACTTAGATTAAATTTTCTTACACACCACCGCGCTAAACTTTGTATTCTGCCAAGCAAGTTGCGATATACATGTTAAATCAATGAATAGTTTCTTTGAAGTTAACAATCAAATCTCAAAGAATGATCCAAATAACTATGAAAACAAATTAACATCAAATGTAGCTTTTATGTTTGTTATTACACCTCTAAATTAATATTACATACAATACTCTCGATCATTTATCTTATTCCATACCTTCATTACCTTAACGGAGCTTTTTCAAGGTTTACAAATGAGAGGGGTGTGTACACAAATGTCAGTAATACTGTTAAAAGTCAATCATGATTGATGAAGTTAACTTGTGCGAATCACAAAAAGAACCAAAATATGACATTAGCGTTGATGCTAATATAGCTAACTATTCAACGAGATTTTACATGAAAGTGACAATTAATTAGTATTGCTACCATATTGCTTCAATAGTTTAATGATACAAATCATTAAACAGTACAATTATCTTACTAACAAACAACAACAGTCTAGAACATTATAACTCAATAACTGTTAAACTAATCAATACATTTGTAACAATACAATAGATGTGAGAAAAAAGGTCCTCAATGATAACAATATTCAGGAATCGTGGATTTATTTAACAAGATTTTAGCAAAATATGTTTTTAAGGAATTAAGATTCTCAAACTCTGCATCTATTATAAAATTCACACAAATTCAACTTTAAGATCCATGAAGCATCTGTACAACGGTTAAGCTCAGGAATAATACACAATTTAACACTTGAATGAATTTCATTCCTTCAATGGTGGAAACTCTGGTTGGGCACTATGACTTATCCTTTGGAAGGATTAATATTATTATTATTCATACCCTGGACGACTTACTATTGGGCAACCAATGGGCTGACTTTCCATAAAAATTTTCCTTAACCCAACTTGTTAATTATAGCTAATTCTCAGAATTTTGCATATCTTGATTTTCGTAAATAACTCTTTGCTTTGTACTACGCTGGACAGTATTTAGAGTTAATATTCCTCAATCCACCTATAGATTTCCTATTCAGACTTAATTTTGTTGTTTACGCTGATTTGATGTCAGTGATAAGTTCATTAAGCAATTGCAAAATATGGTTCATGAAGTCGTAAATTGTTCATAAAAACACATTTGACTTTTAAATTACAACTTGTAAAAAATTAATTTCATGTTGAAACATTAAAGTATAAATAATCCTAATATAAACGCACTTTGCAACTAAAATGCACATGCAAACATTAGAAAGTATTTTATCTAACAGCTAAATATAAAGAAGTGCTGTTAAATATAGTATCCTAAAATAAACTGAATCATTCTTACCTGGAAAATATGGTTTTCTTTCGACTCGAACATAATCTGTCCCAGGAATTTCTATGAAACATTCAAAAATTGTGGCTTCAGTCGTTGACAGCTCTTTTATGCAGAATGTCTTTCTCAACTCAATATCAAAAACTTCTTCGTGAGAAATTGTATCGATTAAAACCCCGCTGACAAATCGAGGAACAGTATTGCCTGGTTCGGACAAGAATAACCCAATCTGTGGTCTAGGAAAGAGGCCTTTTGCTGAACAAGATACTTCCAGCTCTTTTGGCGAGGTCAGGCTGTGATTCACCAAAATGGTATTGGCTGGAGCTGAAAAAAAACAAAAACAAACTCTTAATGTACACCAAGATTTTTTACATTTAAGTCGTACCATAAGCTTTTTAAATGCACCTTCTCCAAAGATGGTTTGCTTGTGAGCACGCAAACAGACATCACGCATACGTACTGTTATCACATATGCATTATGCTCGTGCTCACTCAGTACTTAAAAATTAAGTTTGATTGGTTCAAAACATGAAACCGTCATAAATCCAGCTCGAAAAAGCGAAAAGAGAGAAAGGAAAATGAAAAAAAAACGAGTTTGAGCTGAGAACTAGGAACCGTATCTTGAAAAAAAAGAAGTTTGAATTGAGAAGTAGGAACCCTATCTTAAAGTATTTTGTAAGTGATGTAAATAAAGAGAAAAACAACACGCTTTCACAATGAGAATGTGCTAGTGGACCTGGGCCTAACAACGTGGACTTAAACTTTCCGTTGGAATCTGGCACTGCTAACTTACCGCAAGAAAGCACCTCAGTAACAGACCATAATCAAAAGGATGCAACTGAATTTTTATTTTATTTTCTTTATTTTATTCTTATTATTTTTTACACAAATGACCCAAGTATGCGGCCAGAGAGATTAACTGATTTTGAGAGGCAACATATCATCAAGTGTTAACTTACGGAATAAGCTAACTCTGTGCTATTAGATTCTGATGGTCGAACATTCCCAGAGTATTGCGTGTATTCGTAACTACCAAGTGGCCGTGAAGAGGTAGAGAGAGATTGGTTAACTTGGAGCAAGAGTAAAGGAGCTTTATTTTGAATCTCTTCGTTGCTATTTTCTAATTCGCTGGAGAATAAGTCTTGTAGCGCAAAAAAAGAATATCTCAACTGGCGTAAATTATATGAGTATGAGAGGAGTAGTCAGCATCAGCATTGTTACAGGCAATGGAGAAGCCTTCAGCAAACTTTACTGGAGAGACTTTAGGATGCAACCTTATTTCTGGCATCTTGAAATTTAGCATTTGGAGGAAACAGTTCCACAATTAACGATGTTTACAATGGCAATTTCTTGGATGTACTTGAACTAATATCGCACTATGACCTCCCTCTGTATGATCACTTACCAAAGGTAAAACAATGTCAAGAAAAGGGAGAAAAAATACAAGCTCATTATCCATCTTGGGAAAGTTAGAACGAATTTATTGAATTATATGGTCAGCATATTTTTAACACGATTGTGGCAGAGATGAATGAATCTGTTTATTTTTCTGTAATATGTGACGCTATTCCAGACACTCCCACAAAATGTACTTATCCTGAAGTATGTGCACAACGATAAAGAGATCGGAGAATGGAAAATTTACAAACGTTTTATTGAGTTCATTGATTATGCAAACAAAAATGGGCAGGAAATTGCAGAAATGCTGCAACAAGGATTAAAAAACGTGGAACTGACATCGCTGATTGCAGAGGACAAGGTTTGACAACAGAGACAATATATCCGGAAAAGTCAACGGTGTACAAGCTCATATTCTTGAAAATAAAAAACATTTGCCACATATTCTTATTGCGATTCTCATTCTCTGAATCTAGTTAGTGCATGCTGTAGAATCGTGCTCCGAAATAGCCACTTTTTTGGCTGTGTAAATCGGCTATACGTTTTTCCGTCTACATTCCCGAAAGATGGAATAATTTGAAAGAAGAAACAAGTTGCTCTCTACATCGTTTGAGTGAAACAAGGTGGAGCTTTCCAATCGAAGCAATTTGCCCTGTTGCAAAGCACCTTCCCAGCATTATTGCAGCTATAGATAGCATAATTAAGTCTAGTAAACTATCTAACGAAGCCAAGTCTGAAGTAAAAGGTCTGAAAAGCTACCTCAAGTCTTTCACTGCAACTGTTTTGGGTAAAAGAGAGTTTTGAAGAGAGATATTTGCTTTTTCAGTCTGTAGGTATTTCGTTAGACTTAGAAGCAGCCAACATAAACGATCTACAAGAGGAGATGTTTTTGAGAAACTAGTGGAATGCCACTAGAGTTTAAAACTGCGGCAACTGTAATGGAAGTAATTTCTGTATTAAACCGACAAATAGCGATATCATGACGAAACTGCAAATGATGTTAGAAGTGAAAGTGCAGATACTACGTTTTGCTATACAGTGTATTATGTGGCAATATCAATCAATTAAGCAGTCGATTTCAGTCCGTTAGAACAAATATGTGGTAACTTTGCGGTAGTTCTGAAGTTTAGGAGCATGAGTGCTGATGAAATCAATACATCGTGTGAAAAGCTAGTCAGTAAATATTCGCAGGATCTGACAAACTCTTTGGGATGTGAAGTTCACCATGCTACTTTTCAAAACAGTTTAGCGCCTTTGGACCTACTGAATGCAATCTAAAAAATGAAACTGCAAACTATTTTGGGGGAAATTTGCATCGCTGTTAGAATCTTTTGCACACTGCCTGCGACTGTTTCTGTAAGAGCTTTCAGTAAACTTTAAATCATCAAACGTTTTCTCCGATCCACTGTGTGTGTTGGGACAGATTCAACAACGTTGCCATTCCCTCAATCGATTTAAGACATCATTCAGGGCTTTGCGAATAAGAAAGCGCGTCCGTGTGTTCTGTATACAGCTTAGAGAGCCACCAAAAGACCAGAGCAAGAGAAAGGACAAACATACAGGTAGGAATAGTTTTTTTTTAATTTATATAATATACATAAGTCTGTATATATATATATTATTATAATTTGGTATGCACCCCAGTGGCACAGCGGTATGTCTGTGGACTTACAACGCTAGAAACCGGGTTTCGATACCCGTGGTGGGCAGAGCACAGATAGCCCTTGTGTAGCTTTGTGCATAATTAAAAACAAACAAACAAAAACAAACAATAATTTGGTATATGATAATTTATAGGTTATATTTACTAATAATATTTATTATTATTTGTTAAAATACAAATCAAATAAATTATAATTAGAAAGTTGTTTACAAGGAAAATTCTGTCAATGTGCACCAGCTAGATTGAGAGGGGGGCCGTTTTTATAGGAATCCCAAAATCCTGGCTGCGGCCCCGTGTATACATACTAGATAATGACAGGTGTGTAAAAATAATATTACGCACGAGTCAAAGCATACGATTTTATAAGACGTAACCGTTTTAACAACTTGAATTTAACACGGCATATAAACATGTATTTATTGCACAAATATCGGGTTTACCATGAATTTATTTTCTTGTTGTTGTTGTTATAGTTCTTAACATAGTTTAATTGGTTTGATAACGAAACTCTACGCTAAACATTCATGTCATACTAAAGGTAATAAATCATTTATTTTATAAAATAAACAGTTTTACAATTTCTTATTTAAGGTGTTCATTAAATTACGACATAGCTCGATTACATTCTTTTCACGCTATTTGAAACGATAGATAAATATTATCTATTCGTCATACAACAATAGTTGAAAGTAAATGGTAATCTTCAAGTTTTATTATAATTTTAATAACAGTATCCTACGACACAGTTTTCCGGAACATGCTAGAGTTAGTAGATTTATATATGAATAGGAAAAGTTAATTAATTACTCTATTTCCATTCATCATCACTCAATATCAGTATGACTGGCTTACCATAAACAACCATCTCTTGCTCACGAGAATCCTGATTGACTAACGAACTTACGACACACGTATACGTTCCGGTCATGTCAGTTGTAGGGTTGATGATTCTTAGAGCCCGGTACCGAGAGAGAGAATCCACAGGGTCAGCAACAAACGTGTCATCTAATCGACCTTGGAGGAAACCGGACACATAGCGATTACCAAGCACTGGAATCCACTGGTAAACGGGCTTTACCTGGTGGTTATAATACCATTTGACCACCAGGCGCAGGTCATTATGGGTATAAGAATATTCGCAGTCTAAAGTGATGGGGACATCAGTCCCATTCTTCACCCAACGTGGAACTGAGAGCCTCTTGATCTTTACCGCAGCGATATCTAAAATTTATTTAAGAGAATAAACACAAAAATATAAATAGCATAATAATTCATAATACTATTTCCTGCATAACATCTTAGCTTTTCTAATTTTATTTGTATGACTTATAACTATTTAGAAATACTCATAGTACGATAAATTGGATGGACTAAGAGAGTAATTTTACGACATATAAATTATGTACAAGATACAAGAAAAGCTTTCAGGTTTTGGTGCAAAACTACACAAAGGGATATTTGCGCATAGACAATTTTAATTTTGAACTGAAAGATAGCTTATCAACACCACCTACTAAAACTTTTGGACTACTCTTGTCTGACCGGGGGGGGGTCGTTTTTATAGCGCAACCACGGCTTCAAAGTACGAAAAATTTTCTTTCCACACTTTATTACAGAAGCTGTGGAATCGAAGCAGTATCACCAGCAGCTTGGTCATTTCCATTTAAAGGTAGTGGGTACTTCACCTTCAAATTCTGGCTCATATGAAGCGCCGCTTCTTTCCTCCGATTGTTCTTCGACTTCGGCATCAGTTTTGCTTTGAAGCACTAGATTTTTTTGCATCTATAATAATAATAATCAGTTTGTGTTTGTCCTGAAATTGTACGTGCACCTTACTATCTTAACGCGCCCACTTTATTTCAATGTATGTAAACAAATGTCGGATGTAAATATACTTTAGTAAACATTTGTTACAACAACATATTAAAAGCTTAAAATTTTTAAAAAGATCTAACATTAGGTCGTAGAATAAAGCTATCAATAAATAAGCTTATGTTAAGTACGGTGAAGTTTAGCTAATTAAATTGAAGCAAAAAACGTACATATGTTAGTGTTAATTTATCTCTTTATCGAATATAGGCCGTGCTTAATAAAGGCTTAACTAATGTTAGGCCTAAGACAAGTGGACACAGATATGTGCCTACGATTATAATTATTTCATAGTATTCTAGAAATCCTGTATTTTAAGAAGTACTGCTGCATTAAAGATGCTATTTTGACCGCAAATGTTTTGCGAGTCTCTGCTTGTTAGGTATATTTCTTCTTCAAACCACTGGGTAATGGCTCTACCCAACATACATACTTGTATCCTGACTTTAAACCTTAGAGTAAAAGGTAATACTTCTTTAAATACAGGATATTTAGAACAATACAAAAGAATTCTAATCGCAGAGACCGAAATATAAGTTCACTTGTCTTAAGCCTAACATTAATTAAGCCTTTTTTAAGAATGGTCTATGTTCAAATTATTCTAGGATTTTAAATTATTTGTGTTTTCATTTAAGAGTTAACATTTATTTTTTGAAAATGCTATTACTATTTATTTTTGAATTATCAACTGCTTCTTAGCATTGCTTTAGCCACATTTTTTCTTTCCTTGCTAGTAGAAACAATAGATTATGGATATCAGTTTCTCTGATTCATCATCAGGTTGACTAAAAAAATTGAGAAAGCCTTGTCAACTTGACCAGACTGACAAGTTTTACCGAAGTTGTCCAGAAATTCCGGAGAAGAATAAATAAAACATCATTCTCAGGAAATAGTGGGGTTTTATTGACATTTAAAGAGGATATTATTTAATTCCTGCTGTATTTGCTTCTAGCAATGATAAAAAAATTATTAAACTCAATAATAATTTCTTTGTGTTCTATACCAGACATCCTCAAGTACAAAGTAACGATGATCCTATTACAGAACTTGCGAAGATACATCATGAACACTATTTTAATCACTATATTTATATTGCATCACAGTCTTTCTCTAAATAATTTTAATGTTGTTCAAACCAAACTACAAAATTTAAAAAAGTAAAAAAAACGTGAATTGGTGCATAAAAAGAAAATACATAGAAATTATTTGGTTTGAATTGTGAATAAAATAGCCGTACACAAAACTTACCCTAATTGGTTATCTACGTGATGGAAGACAAAATTAAGGCATTCTTCATGCTGGTAGATTAAACTTTCAAACACGACTGAATGTAAACAATGCGCAAAGCTCATTCTGAGTGAGTTAATACCTGGAGGTTTGATAAAAACAGTTACTCCATCCAAATTCTTATAAACAAACAAATGATGGTTGGCTCCACCGTAACGCGCACAAACAGACAGTTATCAACAACCTAACCAAACAAACACTGTTAGAAAAACGGAGAGCAGATAGACCCGTAAACAAACAATTATAGTGTGTGGTCCCATAATGAAACCCACAAAAACAATAACCAGACACACAACAAAAAAGGAAGTAATCCCATAGACAAGTGTACAGATATGTCATTTGTAGTGATATACTCAGAGACGGAAGAGTTAAATCATGAAACCAACCCCAAAAATACTGATATATATTTAGAGAATACTTGCTATATAAGAAGATAGAGTGGAGAAACATGTTAGTTAAGCGATTGGTAAATATATAGACGGATATAATTAGATAAACACTCGTTACCTGTGACATTACACAAGTGCACCTTCTAACAACAATCATTATTGACTAAGGCTCTGCTATCAGTGGCAGATGCACCTATGTAATTCTTCGAATAGGCAGATTTGGTGTTTTTATTATTTGCTGCTAAAAGCGGAACCCTGATGAGCTCGTTCTGGTTCCATGTATTGTGTTGATCTTAAACGTCACTTTCTTCATTAATATTATTGGTTATAGCGTTTAAATTAACATAAGGTCATTTAGTTTTTATAATTATTATTTATTTATAGTTATGATGCTTATTGTGTGTATGTTGGTTTATGGTGTTATGTACTTCTCGACTGTTTGTTGAACATTAATGAAACTAATTCCACACAAGTCCTGATCCCTATACCTAGCTGATTTTTGATCAAAAGTTTTGTATTCCTTCAAATAGATAAGTAACTTAAAGCATGAAGTTTTAATATTCATTATTCATGTAGCTTATATATTTTTTTTTACTCCCGAAAGATTTTACGGAAAGTTTAATTATTAGAAAAGATCAGAAGAGGAGATATTAACAAAATGTTTCCATTATCCCGGATTGAACTTCAAGCTGTATTTTTTAAATTTATTAATGCTAGGTGTTTATTGAATGAACATTGCTAAATTCATAGTAATGGCTTTTATCGTGATTAGGTCTTTGTTCTTGGGCTGATTTTGTTTAATTTCTAATTAGGTCGATCTGCTCTCTAAGGGTGGGGGGGGGGACATCGATGATACAACTTGTGAGACTGTTCGTAACCAGGTGTTCCGAAAATCGAATAAATAGTCCCGTATTATGGACAGTTATATTGATTCCAAGCATGTTCGCCGTCCGTGATATCGAATTGAATTCATATATATTGGGTCTGGGATTTTTATCAATCGATAACTTTGCTTTAGACAGGATAAGAACAGAGTAGAGATTTTTGAAAATTCGAATATATACAAGTGATTCGGAGTAGATGTGTTCTATTATATGTTTTTTAAAAAGTGTCTTGAAGTTTTGAAAAGATAAATTGCATACTCTTATTTGAAGCAATTCTGCACATTTCAACTATTTGACTTGCAAGTAAACAAACGCTTTTTTTTTGCATTAAAACAGATTCAGTTATAGATTTTTATAATGACACGGGCATGTTTTCTAGCTATGTACTATTTTACCATCGACACCACTAGGATTAAAGCAAGAATTACCGCCTCTCTCTCTCACAGTTACTGCTTTCGTAAAATAAATTAAATCCCTCCTCCTCCTCCCAATAGTAACACCTAGTCTTTCTGCATATACAGGCACGGGATTCTTTAATGCCAAAAACATCAAGAGTCAAAACTAATGAATAAATCTAAAAGGTTTTTACACCAGAGGATATATTTACAATAGCAGTAACTCGAAAACAATGATAAAATGTCTCGAACACGTGTATGCAACATTAGTATGTTTGTTTTGCAAGATATACCTCACACAAATCCGTTTTTTCGTTCGATTTCTTTATGTATTGAACTCTTTTAAAGTATTGTAAAATAGTTAATAGCTATAGACCTTAAAGTTTTTCTTAACCAACTAATGATACTTAATATAGTTTCACGATAGTGATTTCACCTTGCAAGTGAAATAGAATATTTTGTTATTCACAGGCTCGTGATTATTGAGTACATTGTATTAACGTGAATAACTTATCTGTTCTTCTTGTAACTCGATAATAATATAATACAAACAAATATAATATTAATTGGCATAAATGTAGAATAAGTTGAATGAGCATGAAATAATATACCGCATGTCAATAAAATACAACCACCAATATAGACCAACAAACTAAATAATATAGCACATTTCAATTAAATACAACCATTAATATAAACCACAAAACTAGATAATATACCGCATGTCAATAAAATACAACCACCAATATAGACCAAACTAAATAATATAGCAAAGTTAAGTTCTTTCGAGTTTTACCAAATAATACAACAACGTTAAATTGTTTCAACATTAGCAACTATCACGTGAAATTAGCTTATCTTGAGTTTTAATTTAACTTTTATATATATACATATATATATATATATAATATATATTTTATATATGTTCGCCACGGGTAGTTTCTAAAGTTTCGCACTTTTCATTTTTGTTTATATTTAAACACAAAACGTTTGAGGACTACATAGAAACTATGCTAATTTCTTGGGTTTCACATTCACGTATATTAGCATCTTGACGATCTCTTGTCACTATTTGTGGACAACGTTTCGACACTGGTTTACTTTCAACTAAGAAAATACAATCAAGAGATGGGTTACTTCAACTTCTTTCACGTTCGAAACAATAAAAATAGATTTAAACAAGTTTAAATCTAACCTTCATAAGATAAAGATCAAGTCTGTTTTAAAAATAATTATGTGCGTTAATATTTCATGATTATATATTGATGCTATCTGGTATTTTTATGTGAAGGAATATTACGGTTTACTTATTAAATGGGCCCCATTAGATGTGCTTTGAAATGTATTTTATCTAATTCAGACTGTAATTCTATTAACTCAAGACCCTGATAAACGATGTTTATTACTCAGTTCCTGTGGATTTACTGTCCGTAATATCCTGTATTATCTCTACAAGAGCCTAATAACATTAATTATTCCCGAGCTGCCCCCATTACGCTGGTCTACATTATAACAAGGAAAAGGCTCGTCTCGAGAGTTACCGAGTCTGTAAATTGTCAGTTTCATATTGGCTTTTGTTGTCAGTTGTCTACGCTAACTACAAGTCATTAAGCTGTTACAATTGTATTATTTAGGGTTAGAAAATCACTTTTTCATATTTTAATCAATTCTAAATATTTTTTGCTATGAACAATATAACCATTTACTTAAGTAATTTTCAAAAACCTGTCTTATATTATAAAACAAAAAACACACTGAACAGATGTCGTGGCAAATAATTGAAAAATGCAAACTATTTCCTAATAAAATAACTGCATATTCTTCTCGCATCATATCACTTTTGTGAAGTATATGTGAGCATTATTATAGCCATAGTTACAAATTGATAGAGTTGTTTTAAGTGTCAGTACATCTATAATATTTT